GGCCTGAAATCATAAAAATCCCCTTTCTATACTGTTCTGAAGGTTTTTTTTTTTTTTTGAGTGAATTGTGAAATGGCCTCTTCCAGTTTACAATCTGTAATAATATACAGCCAGTCCTCATTTAGCAACCACCTCAGCAGCCATTTGCAAATACAACAGTAATAAACATTAGAAGAAAAAAAAATCTGATCAATGCACACACTTATGCCAAAATTTCTGCACCTGACAACAATGTATGGTGGAATGAGAGTAATGCTGGAGTTGCTGCATGAGAGAACTTTATCTAAATGAGATGGCAACAACCAGGGAACTTCACAGCATCTCCCTCTCTCTGTCTCTCAGTCATGTGGTTCACTTAACAACCATTTCACTAGAATGAATTGCCGTCACTAAATGAGGACAGACTTGCATGAGATTTTAGTCTTTTTGGAGTCAGGCAGCCTCAAAAATCCAATAAATAAATAAATAAATAAATAAAATTGCTTTCCTCTTTTTACTTTTCCCCCTCTAGACTAATGTTTGAAGTACCATCACAGAGGTAGACCTAGTTTCCATTTTAATAACCCACAATGCTCCTGATGTGGTATTCTCCAGTGCATTTTGGTTAATTGAAATGGCTTTGAACATACCTGCAAGAAAGCCTGCCATGGCTCAGTAAAAGAAATCTCCCCTCCTGGTCCTCTTAAAGCCAGCCCTCACCATTTAATTACAAAATCTGTCTTCTGCCTGAAACCAACTGGGTTTAAGTGGCTTGTGAAACTTACAAAATGAAAACAATACAGAATCTGAAGAAGAAGTAAGTAGAATAGTAATTCCAATTCAATTCTTTTTTTAAGATTTTTTAAAATCTGGCCTTTATTATTTTTATAAATAACTCAAGGGGGAGAACATACTTAAATACTCCCTCCTCCTCCTATTTTCCCCACAACAACAACCCTGTGAGGTGAGTTGGGCTGAGAGAGAGTGACTGACCCAAAATCACCAGGTGGCTTTCATGCCTAAGGCAGGCCTAGAACTCACCGTCTCCTCATTTCTAGCCTGGTACCATAACCACTAGACCAAACTGGCTCTCAGTTATTACCTATTTTCCAGATAATAGATATTATTATCATCTATTATCTCAGTTATCACTTATTGTTACCTACTTCAACTTGGTATGCTTATTTTCAAGATATTGCCAGTCAATACTAATCAACTTAAACAATGCACTGAGTTCTTTTTGCATAGTTCCAAAATTATATTTTAATGCCTGGGACATCCAGGATAACAGATGAACCCCAAGATACATTTGAAAAATCATTCATAAACAAAGGCTTAGGGAATACTCATTTCTTAGAGGGGAAAAAAATTATTACACTAATGCCGTTTGTCAGGGTTAGTGCAGCACATTTGTAGCATAAATCCCTGTTGTGCACATTAGAAAATGTTTTAAGATGTTTTGTTCACAAAGCTGCCCAAATCACTTTGTTGTGCTGGATCACTTTTCTTTTTTAAGTGTTTCACCCTTTCTTTAGGCTTCTTGGGATTAGGAAGAGGGAAGAAAGAAAATGTCTTGTTCAAGAAGGGGAACTGTGAAGTTATTTTAAGTGCAAGACCACGATGCTAGCAAAAGAAGTTCTAAGAGAAAAAAGAAATGAAAGGACAGCTAAATTCTTTTTTTACTGAGGCCAGTTAATAGTTCATAGTGGGATATATCACTGTCAACAGGAATAAATGAAAGGAAAAGCAAGCATGGCTCAGAATACTCTGTAAAGATTAGAAAGATGGGAGCTTGGTCCACAGTTATCATGCCATGACCCATATACCTTCCTACTAAAGGGGACGATGGGGATATATTAAGCACCCTTCTACTGAATTGGAAATAACTCCAAGCAGTTACGTATTTACTATCTGAGCTCTCAGTCACTGTAAAGCCCTACCCAGACAACATTTCCTTCATTGAGAATTATTCTGCTCCTATTCATTTTTATAAGTGTTTTCCTAGAGTCTACCACATGTTTGTTCCCCTACCCCTCTGCTATGTTATTCTGTTGGGCACCTTTGTCCAGGGTCCAAAGAAAGTTTTTATAGACAAGTTACCCAAATTTTTTAAATTGGAATTGCTGGAAATTAGAACTAGGATGTTTTGCATGCAAGGCAGATGGGGTACTATGGAATTCTCCCATTTAGAACAGCATTTGAGTAACTACCTCATCCTCTAATAAGGAAGAGAAAACATGCAGGAATCTAAAGATGGCAGAGACTTTTACTCAAAATACTAATGAATTATATTGTAGTTCTTAGGTCTTGCGTAATATGAGCAAAAAATCAAAATATGGGTGACTAAATCCATAAGCAGGAGCGGGATGGTGGAAGTACGACCATCCTTGCTCTCCTTGAGCTCTCAGCAGCTTTCGATACCATCGACCACGGTATCCTGTTGGGACAACTCAGGGAATTGGGGGTGGGCGGCACAGTATTGTGCTGGTTCAGCTCCTTTCTTCAGGGCCGATCCCAATCGGTGGTGATAGGGAGCAAGAGGTCCCATCCTCGGCCCCTCCTTTGTGGGGTGCCACAGGGTTCAGTTCTCTCTCTGCTCATTTTCAACATCTACATGAAACCGCTGGGCAAGATCATCCGTCATCATGGGATGAGGTATCATCAATATGCTGATGATACCCAGCTATACATCTCCATCCCTGGTAAAGTAAGTGATGCTGTGGCCACCCTTTCGCGGTGCCTGGAGGCTGTAAGGGTCTGGATGGGGAACAACAGGCTTTGGCTGAACCCTGGTAAGACGGAGTGGCTGTGTGTTAATGGCTCCTCTGTTTCCGGGATTTT